CATCATGAACGCAATGGTACTGAGTATGAGAGGATGAAGTATGTGGTTATTGAATGGCCATAAACTATCACCTCAGAACTTAAAAATGACACATGATGTCAAAAGGGGCACACAGAACTAGGACACCCATCAGATTGAACTGGTTTTAAATGTCATCCTCATAAAGGAAAACTTTGATTAAAACATTCATTATCTATACCAGTGAAATACCTATTTTATCATTACATGTGTTGAACATAGGACTCTAATTAAAATGTAAAAATGATCTGGATTTTCTTTATGTTTATTTTTTGAGTAGGAGTCTCACTCTGTCACCCAGGCCGGAGTGCAGTGACATGCTCACGGCCACCGCAGCCTCGACCTGCTGGGCTCAGGTGATCCTTTCGCCTCAGCCTTCCAAGTAGCTGAACTACAGGCGTGAACCGCCATGGCCAGCTACTTTTTGATTTATTGTGGAGACGAGGTCTTGCTGAGATGCCCAAGCTGGACTCAAACTCCTGGGCTCAGGCAATCCTCTCGCCTCCGCCTCCCAAAGTGCTGGGATTACAGGTATGAGCCACCACTTCCGGCCTGGATTTTCTTTAAAAACAATTATCTCCAAAGGAATAGTTACATGCTATGGATAAATTGTCAGATTTAGCAGGAAAAATTATTTCAAAGTCTTAGAATCTAGAAGTCTGGCTTTAGAAGTACAGATGATCTTCAGTAACCTGAGGAAACTTGCAGTTACCATTTCTGTAACACATAAACTTAATAAATAAATCAGAGCAAAAATGCTATTGAAAAAAATTGTTTTTGACAAGACTGTTCATTAAATGGTATATTTAAATTCAATCTCGATGACATTATCTTAATATCATTAAAGGTAATGCTTGTGAACTCTAAACATTATTTTCAGTGCAAAGCATTGTCACCATTTATATGACTTAGGTGAGTATTATGTGAGGAAATTTTACTTTGGAATGTCAGTTTCACAAAAACGAAAGTCAGTCATGTAAATAATTGTCTTTGCCACTAAACAGGGTGAATAATTAAACATGATTTACCTCAATGTGTTGGGTCTTATTGTTTTGTAGTTTGTGTACTTTTTAGCTGTTCTTTCAACTATTTAGGTGTAAATCATGCTGAAAATGAAAATTTATGTGCTGCATTTTTTTTCTGAAAAATAAACAGCTTTTTATAACCATTTTGAACGCAATCACTCTCACTAATAGCTACAGAAAATTTAACTACTTTCTTTTCTTTGCAATAAATACCCATAACCCTCCTGCTGAATGACTAATAGTTTTCCAATGGCCTTGATAACAAACTTTCGCTGATTTTTTTCTCTTGATATAAATAGAAAAGAACTTAAAAATAGACAAGAATGCGAATAAAATGGTGGTTGTAAAGTTGCCCATCAAATACTAATTTTCTCAGAAATCGTGTTCCTGCTCTTGACATCGAGTGCATATTTTGCATGAAAGATTATTGTCCTGTTGAGATCGAAGCCTGGATTCAGGCATATCATTCACCCCAGCTCCCAATCCTGGCTCTCTCCTGTTTCTGGAAACATCAGTGTCCTGGAGTTAGGAAGCCTAGCATTGTTTTTCTTAGATAACTCACTTGACATTTCAATGCCTTGGCTTCGATTTTCTGCAAAAGGAAGGAGAGATGGAGTTGATGATATTTAAGAGTCCTTCAAAAAATATGAAGACCTCTATTTGCAAATGAATGGATGTCTGAACTTTTAGTGTACTATAAATCCTACTGTCTCAACAGAAAACAAAATAGTTTTCATCCTTATCTGAGGAACATGTTAGGCAGGTTTCAGGAAAGATGTGAATTAAAATATGTTTTAGATTTATAAAATTCAATTCATTAAGCATCATTTCATTTAATTTGCAGATAGGTTATGCATTTAAGAATGTGTTTATAATTGTGGTCAAAGTGGCACGCACCATCAATTATCAGTTTATTAGCTGGGCAGTGAACTCATAATGGAGCTTGCTATTTTAGTCAATTCCTGTAACTTGGATATAATCTTTTACTTTCATTATATAATTTAGAAAATTTAATGATGTCATTTAGGCATACACATATGTAATGGCTTGATAATTGCTATTATTAAGTGATGATTGCTCTTTGATCACATGGTTGTATGCTGATCTATTCACTTAAAAAGTCAGAATATAATGATGAAATGTTCATGTCAGAATATAATGATGAAATGTTCTCGATCTGTATTGACAGCTGGTGATCACAGATGCATCCAGAAAGGTTTAATTTTGAACTCAGTAGTATTTAGCTAAATGTCTTCTCTTTAATAAAACCAGAGCAAACACTTTTCTGTATCTGAAATGGCTGGAGCATACAAGGTCAAAGACTTCTAGAGCTGCATGTAACCACCTAGTCCAGGGTTTTAAAAATTCTGATGAAGAGATTTGTTGGCTGAGCCGAGATCATATGGTCAGTCAGTTCATATGCAAGTGATCCGGATTCCAGACAGGAATGATATGCACATTTATGAAAGCATGTGTACATAGCTGTGGCATGTATCTTTAAAATGCAATTTGGGGTTTTTTGAGCACACATAGACACATGAGAGAAACAGGTGTGCACAGCAGTAGCAGGAAAGAAAACTGAACTGTCTGGTTAGCTCAGTAACGCTGGGTAGTTTCTCATCACCAGAACTTCAAATCAAATGGGAAGATGAGTCCTTACCTCATAGGGCTCTTCTGAGGGCTTATAGGTGTGTGTGTGTGTGTGTGTGTGTGTGTGTATTCACACACATATAGCCCAAAATAATGTTGGGTATGCGTGACGGTTATTTTGTTATCTAACTTTTAAAATGTAGGAGAGGCTTACTCAGTTCAGGCACTCACTGGCAAACCCAACTTGCTGCCAGTGTGTGGCACTATTTCCTGATGTGCCTTTGAGGTCATATTTAATGGGTACCAACCTTGACTCTCCTTACTCTCAATTCAGTGTTCTCTGCATGTGAACACATGCACATGTTGAAACTTATGTGAACACTCACATATGTTCATTCTTTCACAGATACATTTACAGAATCATACATGCACACATAACTTTGGCTTTTGGTTTCCACGTAGACCAACTCATAAAATTACAGATGAAAGATAATTTAGAATTTTGGAAAATTATATTAAGCTAAATATTCATGGCTGAATGAATTTGGACAGTTATCTGTTAGTCTTCATTTATTTTTCTCCTGTGTTTAAGGACTATGCATATGCATACACATGTATGAGGTTATATAATAATTTCTGAAGAACATGAATGCTTGTATTCTTGGATGGCCTTTACACCAGATTTCAGAATCATTTGTTCTTAATCAGCATTTTTCAACTTTTCAGCCTTTTGAAATACATACATAGTAGTACTTCAGCTTGAAAACCAAGATCTTGACTTTTTGTCAAGCACTTCTTTCTGTGCCAGGAACTCTGTGCTCAGCGCTTTCTTTGCCGATCCCGTCAAAGCATTATCTTCATAAACTACTCTAAGACACCTATTATTATTCTGACTTTAAAATGAGAGACTAGGCTAGGAGAAATTAGGTGCCTGAGTTCACCTAGCAAGTAAGTGGCAGACTAGAATTTGAACTCTGATCTCTCTAATTCTAAAATCCATATTTCCAGCCCCGAAAGGAAATCGAAAATGCTTCTTGCAGCTTACAATAGCCGTTGTAGCTATTATGGGTCTTTTCTTAAAGGAAGTTGTGTCGGTGATGATAGTTGCCAGCCAAAATCAGAAGGGGCGATTTCTAGCTGCTGAGAGGAGCTGTCTCAGTCATCCTCTGGACTCATTATGATACAAACTCTCCTCGGAAAAGGCGGAGCTAGAGGGGTAACAATTATGTGGTATTTAACTTTGCATATTACTTTCTGGGGTTTTCTCTTTTCTCAGCTGCTCGATCCTCACTTTTGCGTCTCGCTCTCCTGGATTTCCCTCTCATTCCTTGTCAGGGAATGCTTGCGGTCTCTCCTGTCCTCCAGCCTCCTCCTCTGACCCTGTCCCCCTGGGGAAGGAGAAACAAGAATGCTGCTGCTCTCTCGCTCACATCATATCCATCCCCATTCCTCTTGAGGCTGACAGTCTTTGCAGCATAACTATAAAAGATGACACTTTATCCTAGCAGGATGAGATATCCCTGGCTGTATCCTAGCTCCATGAATGGGTGGGTTTTTCTCCACAACTTTATTTTGTGACCCAACTGGGAAGCTTCCAATTTCATTGGCAGCTGTCTTCCCTTTTCTTACCAGAACGTGAGATTCTAGCACCTAGCTCAAAAGAGAAAATGCAGGGTTTGAGGTTATTACTTAGGTTCCACAAATCCTTTCTTCCAAACAATTTTTCTTAGGTAGGGAAACAAACAAAGAACCCTGGCTATGCTCTTTCTAACAAAGCTGTTGATGTTTGCAACCCATATAAACACAACATCTTGAAAGAAATGACTGTTTAGTTTTGGTTGCAAATAAAAAGTGCTGATAGGAGTGGGAAGAGAAAGAGAAAATGCTAGTGTTTTCCTTCCCCCAAAGGTTGAGGGTTGACTTTAAAGGGGAAAATTCTGAGCGTCTCTTAAAACAACACGTGAGCTTCTTCATTTCCCCAGACACTGGTTGCCAGTATGGCAACATTGCAGGAAGAAATCGGACACCACCTCCTGTGTCCAGCATCATTTAATGGTTGAGCGACAGAAGGTGTCAAGCCTTCACAGTTCCTCAATGTTGCAAGTCTGGGGACTGCAACGACAGTTCACAAGTGGATCTTTCCCTAGCACAAACTCCCATGGCGACTATTTAGAATCAGTTCCCGCCCACAAGTCCCACAACCTTTACTTCGTGTAAAGATTTCCCAACTTTCCCAGCTGAGACTTGGGGTGTTCCTTGCAAAGGCTCTGGTTCTTTTTGATAGTCTTAGCTGGTGGATTCTTTCTGCGTTTAACTGGTGTCTCGCAAACAAGGCATCCATGCATTTTTTTTTTTCTCTCCCTGCAGGTAGAAATCACACTTCAGGATATCAACGACAACCCACCCGTGTTTCCGACGGACATGCTGGACCTCACCGTGGAGGAGAACATCGGGGATGGCTCTAAGATCATGCAGCTGACGGCCATGGATGCTGACGAGGTAGCTTGGAGAGGGTCTCCGAATTTTGGAAACCTGGTATCGCACATTTCTAGGACTTGTTGACAACTTCATTACCCAGTCATTATGGTTAAGCATTGTGTGCTCCTTTCCAAAGAACGTTGATTCTAGAAATGTGAGGTGAGAATGTTAAGAACGAGACTATCGAGAGGTAAGTTTCCTTTGATCAGCAACCTGTAACTCAGTCAATTGCTGCTTGCATTTTTGACTGTTTAGCCAAATTTTCTTATTTTTAAAAATAATAAAAATATCTTAAGACATATATATATATCTACACTAATATCTTTATTACTCCGATTTGCTATCTTATAGTGCTAAGGATTCTTATTTTATTTGTAATTGTTAAAAACAAATAATTAAAATTATGGTATTTTAAGATTACCTTCCTTTTTCATTTAATTTGCATGCATGTATATATACATACATGTTTAAAAGAAAATACAAAAATGCAAGGATAGACTTTTATATGTTAAGGATATTATCTGGGCAAGCTAATGATTTTTCAGTTCCTTTAATAAACACAAATTGCATGCCTAGCAGAGAATGTGAAATTTGGAGATACAGCTTAGATTACTGTTTTCTTTTTTGTTTTTTGTTGGGTTTTTTTTTGGGTCAGAGTTTCACTCTGTCACCCAGACTGGAGTGGAGTAGCACACTCACGGCCACCCCAGCCTCAACCCGCTGGGCTCCAGCGATCCTTCTGCTTCAGCCTTCCACGTAGCCAGAACTACAGGGGCATGCTCCCACGCCCGGCTGTTTTGATTTATTGTAGAAACAAGGTTTTGCCAAGTTGCCCGGGATGGTCTCATACCCACAGGCTCAGGCAAACCATTCGCCTCAGCCTCCCAAAGTGCTGGGATTACAGGCTGAGCCACCAAACCCGACCTAGATTACTATTTTCTATATTTATATTTTAAGTTTAGATGTGTAATCATCATGCTTTGGGCCTGGAAACTTATATAATTTGTCATTTACATTATTGCTGTGCAAAAAAACCCCACAGCTTGTTTCCTCCACATTACTGGACAGTGAGTTTATCTAATGCTCTGGAGTTGAGGGAAGAGGAGTTATCTTCCCAGACACCTGTATCCCTGGCCGCCATCCCTTTAAGCCAAGCCCAACACAGGACAGGACAGAGAATTCAATTTCCTTGGTCGCATCTAATCTCCAGGTACATCTGAAAACTTGATTTTTGTCCCATGAGTAAGTTCTTCATAAATGTATTTCTTTAACTTAAAAAAATGCAAACAGATAAATAACAGAGTCGTTTTAACAGCAGATATGGAAATATAATAATGACTTATTTATTAATTTTACCAAAATCGAACTTGTAGAAGGCAACAGAAGAAAGCGTAGGCTGAGTTAATGGCCATTCGCTCTTAGTATTTGTCATATTTAGTAGCTTCTACTTGATTTTCTATAGAGAAAAATTCATACTTATTTCATATCTACTTATTATTTGCAAAGTTATATGACTGAACATTTCTATTGTTGACAGATATGTCATATAATTTGCTGTAATTTAGAAATATTCAATTTTCTTAAAGGTTATCATTCATAATAAATATCTGGACCTATCAAATTTATAAAATTTCATTAACTCCCATTCGAAATTAGCAGCAACAGCAAAACGTATATAATTGGCCTAAGACCATCCACATTAACTATCTGAAATTGCAATGGCTGCTTCATTGGCTGTAGCCTGTGAAATGGAGCAAATAAAACACATTTATTTGAAGTGATTTATTCATTAAACAATGAAGCCACAGCCACGTTAATCATAATACATATTTCCTAGCGGGATAGCTCTTTACTCCATGGAATATCATAATTAAAGTGGGATTATTCAATACAAGTCTACAGAATAACAAACAAAATTGTGTGTGGAAATTTATTTGTTTCGGTCATCACACTATCCCTCAAGAACTATTTTCAAAGAGATGCCAACACTCAACCCTTTTAATACTATTCTCTTGATATAATTTTATTCTCTTCTCTATATTTTTATTTTAAAAATATTCTAAATAGGTGCTGATATAAATGTCACGCTTTATTTCTCTCCGTCTAACTTCCGTGTGTGGGTGTGTGTGTGCACGTGCACACACTTGTGTTACCTTCGAGTTCATCTTTTCATGGATGTTCACATTTAACATGAGATTTGAGGAAGGCTGCCACTGGGACGGGTCTTCTGTCTCTGAATATTCACGCCAACAGTTTTTTTTAGTGCATTTGTTTTATTTCTATTGAGCTCTGTTTTTTAAGGTTAAAAAAACTTAAGCAACCACACAGGCGTTATGGCTTAGACATCCTAGCTTAAAAAAATTACTGTGGAGCGATGCTACCCTGGGTGTGCATGAAATGGATCTGGGATAAGGCAGGATGGGGAGTTGGGGTTGCAAAGTAGGGGCAGACAAGGGGACCGGAAGGAGGTTTGCTAGCGGTTCAAGGAAAGAGAGGGGCGCTGATGGTGTGTGTGAGGCGTGACTGTGCCTGAAGCTTTCGGATGACCATGCGCTCTGAAATAGCCTCTGTGGGCATAGTGTGTGCGCGCGCGTGCGTGTATGTGTGTGTGTGTGTGTGTGTGTGTGTGTAAAGCAGCAAGAAAGGATGAAAGAGAGGGAGTAGGTTCACTGATGGCTCTGAAGACAAGAGGGACGCCTTTTGTAAAGCGATTCTGGGACCATTATTATTATTATTTTTTGAGTCGGAGTCTCACTCTGTCGCCCAGACTGGAGTGCAGGGGCCGCTCCCGGCCCCCGCAGCCTCGACCCGCTGGGCTCCGGCGATCCTTCTGCCTCAGCCTTCCGAGTAGCCGGAATTACAGGCCTGCGCTACCACGCCCGGCTGATTTTTTGATTGATTGTCGAGCTGAGGTCTTGAGGACCTTTATTTTTTAAAGATGAAGTCCATGAGGCTGCTTTTATTTTTCAACACCTTTTCTCTTCAAATGTTTTAACTGGTGTTTCAGCAACTCCTGACTGATGCCTGACACAAGGAACACACGATTCTTTGACTCTATGCCAAGCAGAATGGCTTCCCATGGCATTTAGAATTTGTGGCTGCTTCATTTTTTTAAGATGTTTATAATAAATTAACATTAATGCTTTTAGACAAGCTTTCATTCTATCTTCTGCTTTATTCTCAGCTTTTTCTTAGCTCTTAGTTGAATCTAGAAAAAAAACTGAAATATATTTTTCACCTTATAATTATCGTCCTATTTTCCTTCTTTTGTTTGAATAGGACCCAAGATTTTGAAGACCATTCACAAATTGTGTCAATTTTTAAAGTTTATTGACAGTTTTCCTTAATTCCTTAAACTAACATATAAATGCCAGTGCCTTAGAGCAACGCTGGAGAATAGAGCCTGGGCATGGAATTGCAGTTTTAGAAAACAACATGGACACGTTGTACTTAATTTAAATATCATTCGAAACATATGTTGGATCAAGATATACATCTCGCAGAAGCACGTGACTCCTTCTGCCTCTTGTTCCTTCTTATAGACTCCTTCTGCCTCTTGTTCCTTCAGTATCCTGTGCCAGGATACTGAAGCTTTGCTTCATGGTACCATGCTTGTTTTTGAACATACTGTTTAAGGTTGTAAAATGCATTTGCAATTTATAGCTATTTACTTTTGGAATTCCTTCCATGTGCGTTTGTCTCTCTGGTTCCTCAGGAGAGCAGAATGTTTTTAACCAGCATTATTTCCACTGCTCTGCAGCTGAAAGATGATATTTCTTTCTCGTATTGTTGCTGATACAGCATATTTTAGATATTAAATGAATAGACTTTTCAAAGGACTTAATTAAATCGTTTCTCTTGGCCATTTTCAGACATTCACTAGAATCATGAATTCAACCACATCCGTGGATTTTGAGTACAAAAAGATTGTTTCATCAACACAGTCTGATATCTTTGCTTCTTTTCAGAAGAATCATCACAACTTTAGAAATATTGTTAATTATTACAGTCATGGTTAATTATTACAGGGCATGTCTAAATGTCAAGCCATCAGTGTAATAGCTCTAACTAGGCTTTCATTTCTTTGCTTTCTCCTAGGATTGAATGTAGCTGCTTTCATACCTGGGCTACTTTACCAAAATAATTGAATTCCTAGTAAAATCGAATAAATAGTACAGAATGTGGTCAGAAGAGAAGTCAAAAATTCTCACTGAATGTTTTTGTTAAACTATAGAATTACAGTAAATCTGTTAGAGGCTGCCTGTCCACCTGAACATACAAGACAAATGTGGGTAATGTGTGACTCAGCTGTTCCGTTATTAAATTACAATGTGCTTTGAGGCTTTCACTTTACAAAATATGAAGACGGGCTTGGGGAATGCAGTACAAAAAGACAGCGAATACTACTAGACACACATTTTGAAAGAGAGGCTTTGTTTGTTTGTTTGTTACTGTCAGAAATCACCCTCTTGCAGGTTTGACCATGAAGGGAAAACCATGAGTGAGCTAGGATGGCAAAGACGCATGGACCCAGCAGAGGCTGGCTTTCTCCAGCACGTGGCATTCATGGACCTCCACGCTCCAGCCTGTCCTTATCCTAATATTCCTCTTGATAATTCTTAGCCTGAATATTTTGATGAAGACATTTTTAGAGGGTACTAACAGCCAAAGATATACTTGTTTTGAGTATATTTAAACCAAAAGATCATTTTGGAAGTCAACAATTCCAGCACTTCTTATACCTGTGTCAAGATCAATAATTACACAAGACAGAAAATAGAAAAGTTAAAAAAAAAAACCATGTTTTCACTGGGATGTACGCCAACTTTTATCATACTTTAATTATTCATTTGCTGAAGTCTAAGTCATCAAATGCATTTAACACACCATTTTTCTCCTATAAGAAAATAGAAAAAAATAAGAATAAAAACAGCAGCTGGCCTTGTCCTATACTTACTATTTCTCAGGGATGTTATACTTTGGTATTTGTGGTCACTAATTTAACCTTCAAAACACCCCCA